TCAGCCGAGTGAATCCAAACAAGCACTGAGTAATTAAAGTTTATATAGAATAGACATATGGACAAAATTTTAAAGTGCAGTAGCGCCCACTGTAATCAGTATGAATGAAACCTGCCAAGCTATGATAATTTTGCAATCTTTTGTACTCAAAGTGAATATGTCGTTTTCTATTATGATTGAAATATGCACACTTCGCAATCTTTTATACTCACTTACATTTGCACGAATTTTTTACAGGTTATTCTAAGTACTTCACTGCTAGTTGGATTTATTCTCAGGACAAATGGGTATAAATCATCTTTTTATAATTAAAGTTTATTTTCTCTTTATATGCCTTATTTAAATGACTAGATTTTTTCTTTTAATAATTTGTAGAGGCTGCTGAGGATAATATCATCGTGCATAATGTTGATAAAGAATTTGAATTTAGAATTGGCATGATATTTGCTAATGAGGATGAAGCATATAAGACATACAATGCATATGCAATTTTCAAGGGATTTGGAGTGAGAAGAGGACAAAAGGCAAACACTAGTAAAGGAATATTGCGAACATGCACATTTCTTTGTAATTGTGAAGGATACTCTCCACCAATCCCACCTCATGAACAAAGAGATGTTTATAGGACAGTGAAGAGAACTGGATGTCAAGCTTGCATAAAATTCAAAATTGAAAATGGAGTTTGGATAGTCGACAAGTTTAAGGATATTCATAATCATCCTTTCATTGACGATAAACAGAAACATTTGATACGATCATACCGGCATATGACAGATACTAATAAAAGTATTTTGACTTCAATGGCTGGAGCTAGTAGAAGGGCTACAAAAGCGTATTCTTACCTGAGTGGTGAAGCGGGAGGACAGGAGAATATTGGTTTTACTTTACGTGATTGTCAAAATTTCTTACAATCGAAGAGAAGGGACTTGATTAGTGCGGGTGATTGTCAAAGTCTCATTAATCATTTTAATTTCTTACAATCAAATGGAAGCAATTTTTCTTATACATTTCAACTGGATGAGGATCAAAGACTAACCAACTTTTTTTGGTCTGATGGTGTATCCAAGCTTGACTATGAAAGTTTTGGAGATGTGGTGGTATTTGATACAACTTATCGTACAAATAAGTACAATATGATATGTGCACCTTTCGTTGGCTTGAATCATCATTGGAAGAATGTTTTCTTTGGTTGTGCATTTTTATTGGATGAAACTATTGCTTCTTTTGTTTGGGCATTTCAATCCTTTTTAGAGGCAATAGGTAATAAAGCACCAAAGACTATTTTCACCGATCAAGATCATGCCATGGCAAATGCCATTAAGACTGTTCTTCCAACTAGTAATCATCGTTTATGTGTATGGCACATTGCGAAAAATGCTACGCATCATATTGGGCATCTTCTTAGAAAATCGAGTTTTCGCGATAACTATTGGCATAAGCTTTTATATCATTGTGAATCCGAATTGGAAATGGAGAATGTTTGGAAAGCTATGTGTCAAGAATGGAGCTTGGGGGACCACAAATGGTTGGATAAATTGTACTGGCTGCGTCATAAATGGTGTCCTGCATTTGGTCGAGATATTTTTTCCGCAGGAATTAGATCCACACAAAGAAGTGAGAGCACAAATAATGTCTTCCAAGATATGGCGTGTAAGACCATGACTTTGTCTGAATTTGTCAATCATTATGAGAAGCAAGCAGAAAAAATGCGCAACTCCGAATTTGTTGATGATTTTGAGTGTGCTCGAGGAAAGCCGCAGATTATAGTTCAAAATAGTGGAATTTTGAAACATGCTGCAAATGTATACACTCATGTCATTTATAGGAAATTCCAGGATGAGTTCTTGCATGCTTTGTCTGTGTTTATTTGTAGATCAGAAATTGATGGGCCAGTGCACACTTATATCGTGGCAACTGAAAGTAGTGAAAGGAGGCATGTTGTTTGTTTTAGTCCAACTGATTTAACCATTACATGTAGCTGCAAGTTATTTGAAATGCAAGGATGGTTGTGTAGGCATACTTTATGCATCTTGAAACATGTTGTAAATGTTACAAGCATTCCTTCACAATACATTCTGAAGAGGTGGACAAAAGCTGCAAAACAAAGGACTTATTGTGATGTTGGACAAAGCTCTCATGCTGCGGTAGAGTCAAAAACATTGCGCTTGAAGAGATTGATGCAATTGGCTTTCAGTGTTATGAATGTTAGTGCAAACCATGATGTTACGGAGGAGCTTGCAACTACAACTTTGCTGCGTCTTCGCTCCCATATCACAAGCAAAATGCAATCTTTGACAGGTAATGATTGTATCAATTTCTTGGTGGAAAGTGATGAAGCTGAAGTTGAAGAAAACGGTGAAATTCAAATACTTGATCCCCTTCGGAGAAGACCAAAAGGTGTACCAAATACTCGGTTGAAGGGTGCTAGTGAAAAGCGAAACAGAAAAATGTCTTCATGCGCAGGAGGCGCCTCACACAAGGTGTAATGCTTGTTTAATATGATAGAATGATTTTATCAATGAAACGCATGAAGTTATTCTTATACAAAGTATTTAATCAATTAAATGCATGAAGTTATTATGATACTCTTACTTTTGTGCAGGATTGACCCTTGGTTATATTGCTAGCAACTTAACAATGTCAATTTTTGTGAATACTGAGCTTACAAGCTCAATTTTTGTGGAAATAGCTTGCAGTGATGGCACAATTTTTGTGGAAAAAGCTTGCGGTGATGGCACAAGCTTTGCACCTCTCACAATGTCAGTGTCATTTAGTTCCTCCTCTAATGGTGTTTTGAGTAAATAGCAAGAGGAGCAGTAAGAGTCACCTAAATAACGAAGGAGCAGCAAGAGGAGGTAATGTTGATACTGTACAAGTGTTCCTAAGATTCAATGAATCAAATCAGATCAGAACATGATTTTTGATGGCACATAATGGACATAATCGTTGCTAGTTAAGAGAAGCTATTGAGTTGAGTAGCTAATTTAATTGGTGATGCCTCTATTAGTGTGTACGGGTTGTAATTTCCAGTATATTCCTGGTCATGGTGCAAGGGTGGCGAGTGGGTTGGGACTCTATTAATATTCTCCCTACAGAGCTTTGGTTTCTTTAAGAAGTACCTCAACTACTATTGTATTTGGAAACGGCATTGTCTGTTGGCAGGATATCAATCATTCTGATACAAAATTAGAAGTTAGCTGAAACTACAACAGTTTTCCCCTTATACTTGCAACGGCATCGAGAACTTCTTGGGTTCTTGATTGTTGCTTGGTTACTGAGAAATCCATAGCGAGACACTTGAAATTGTTGTGGGAACTAACGGTCGATTCTCCTTCAAAGTATTTCATGTCATGTTTTACTTGATTCTGGTTTACCTTCAACCGAAGGCAGGCCTGTTGGTAGGTTGGTAGCGACAATCTATTGTATTGATGAATGACAAGAACATAAATTCTATTCATGTAACCTAGTAATTGTTATTGCTCATGTGTGCTTTGTTTTCACAGCCTTATGTAAATGAGCCTCATAATCGCGGTTTGCAACTTATAGAACATGAGAGGCTTCTCAACATAACTGTGACTACAGATAAATCCGGGCTTCAAGTAATTTCTCAACGTAAGCTGCTTGAAATTGTTATACTTCTCTAATGTTTGACAATTGAAAGCTTTGTTTTGTTGTTTTCAGGTTGCTATTCATGCTATTGGAGATAAAGCAAATGATTTAGTTTTGGATGTGTATCAGTCAACTGCTTCTATAAATGGAGTGAGAGATCGCAGATTCAGGGTGATGTTTTGGCCAAAGCACAGAATTAGCTGTGCTATCTCATTAGACTTTGTCACAGATTGTGGAGGGTTAAGTTTTGACTTTAGTTGATGTTTTGTGAAGAAACTGATTTTTACTGAAGTATTGATTTCGACAAGTAGACTGTAAGGTGTATGATGATGCATCAACGTGTAAGGCACAATAAATCCGTAAACATATGATGTGTTTTTTCCATCATTTCCAACATATGATGTGTTTTTTCCATCATTTCCAGTCATCTATTTTTTGAGGAAGACCTTCTGTCAATTAAATTTTCTTGACGGAGCGTGATAAGTGCAACGGTAGTAGCATGAATAGGTATGAATGTCGGGGCTAGATGGAGCTGGAAATTGCTGAATTACTCGAATAAAGCGGATCTGCCACTAAACAACACGTTTATGTTATTTGAACGTTGATCAAGTACAGTCCATCAATCAATTTTAAACGAGTGGGATTAGGCATGTTTGCTAGTTTTTGCAGAATCACCCACCATTTCATTTACTATTTGACAAGTAAAGTACTTATTAGTAACATCATGCCATGCAACTTTTCCACTTATGTCAATTTTCCATATCCCGATCTCCTACACGGCATCATTTAATGATAGAGTGGTCTATGAGACGCTACCTTAGAATGCATATTGGTTTCTTTCGTGTAGCTTAGAACTTGTATCATCTAGGCATTCTGCGTTTAGCGTGAATGGCAAGTTAGATAGATTTGTTGACAGGAATGCATGAAAATGGTTTGCTCTCGACTTACATCTGTATACTGTCAACCTCCTACTCCTATGAGGTAAGACATGATTTTAAAAGTCCCTAAGAAACAAAACAAGGGGATGCATTCGAATTCTCTCCATCCAACACTAAATTATCCGAAGCAATAGTCCTATCCGAACCACTGTTCACTGTGCGCAAGAGCCAATCACCTAATGTACTTACCAGTCAATTTTGAACTGATTTTTACTGAAGATCAAAATTACCTTACAGTCTAGTAGTAATAGGGTAATCAAATTGAGTCGACCCGACATAGTATCAATTTCGAACTCGAGTTCGATTCGATTAATTATGGAATCAAAATTGGACGAGCCAATACCGAATAATCATAAATCACCTCTACATAATCGTCTTAAGAAAGACAAATTCATTGTACTCTAAGTAAAACAAGTTCTACATAACCATCAAGATTAACTCCATGATAATTACCTATATAGTAACATAGATATCATAATTCCAAGAAGGAAAGATACGATGACTCCATATAATATTATCATTGACATAATAAAGCCTATTTTTTTTTCTAATCAACTTCAAATCTCCTTTTACGATTGCCAATTCTTCATTTTCGCTTGATGCCTCTCCAGAATTGACTACGTCCACACTTTTAGGTGAATAGATCCTGCATTCCTCAATATAATCTTCAACCCATTGCACAAAGCCTCGACAATTATCTGTCTGAAAAAAATTAGTGTAAAGCAATATCAAGTATTACAAATGTCACTACATGCACAATATGGTAAATTGATACACTTACATTACAAGTCGAAGCATAATATAACCTTCCTCGATTAATAGGATTTTTTTGCACTTTTTTTACCATGCATAATTTCCCTTGAGGACATGGACATATCTTGGATGGCAAATCAACCGACCAATTTGAAGATCCTCGAGATGTCATACTAAAGTAATAATATCATATAATCAAAATTATATTAGATTTAATCAACAAAAAGTAATTCAAACAACAGTTTGTGAATAACAAATCAATGTAATAGATAAGTAAAAAGCTTCATAATAAAACCTATAACAACCTTTTTAGTTCATTTAACAAAATCATTTAATAAGACCACTTATCATGTCTTTACACAGGATAAGCATGTGCTCTAAACTTCACCCCAGTGACCTACAGTGACAAAACTAACAGAGGAACAAAAAAGAAAATCAAGAATTGCTGTTGATCAACATCAAACCGAGTTTTTTGGCACTCTAATATAACATCAATTGTCGAAAATATAATAGTGCGAAGAAACCGAAGATAGTTATACCCACTTGAGAGCCCTCCCAATTAACAATTAACAGTTAGTTCCATGAAAACAGAACAGACAACACATCTATTCCTAAATCGTGATCTGTCAAAATTTCACTAAAGTTGGAAACTTTAGTTTCCAATTCAATCACCGAGAACACAGAAAAACCTGAAAACTTTGGAGCCGATGGGGCTTCGAAGGCAGAGGCGATGAGCTTGAGGCGGAGCAGACAAGGCAGAGGCAGATTAAAGTTTATAGCAGGACCTAAAATGGACGAGGCAAATCGCCGTGCTTTAATATGGTCTCAAATTCCATTACTTACGGTGGATTAAAGTTCATAGAACCTAACTTGACCGGCTCCGCAGGCGGAGTTGACGGCCACGAGGCAGAGCCGATGGAGAGACGGATTAAAGTTTATTGCACCTAACCTGATATGGACGAAGCGGATTACCATGGCTCTAACCAACTTTAATATGAACTATAAATTTATTACTTGTGGTGGATTAAAATTTATGGCACCTAACCTGATCGGCCCTAGAGGCGGACATGGAGGCGGAGGCGGAGGCGGAGGCAACCGCGACAAGCAAAGCCAATAGCCACGAGGTAGAGAGGCGGAGCCAACAGCCACGAGGCGGAGGCGACGAGGACGAGGTGACAACCACGAGGCGGAGGCGGAGCCGACGGCCACGAGCGGAGCCCACGCCACGAGGCGGAGGCGATGAGGCGAAGCCGACGGCCACGAGGCGAAGGTCACAAGGCCGAGGCCACGAGGCAAAGCCCACGCCATGAGGCGGAGCCGATGGTGACGAGGCAAAACGAGGCGGAGGCCACGAGGTGAAGCCCACAGCCACGAGCAGAGCCCACACCACGAGGCCGATGGCCACGAGGCAGAACGAGTCAAGCGGAGCCGACGGCCGCGTGGCGGAGGCGACGGGGCAGAGGCGACAGCGACGAGCGGAGCCCACGACCACGAGGCAGAGTCGACGACCACAAGGCGCAAGCGACGGCCACGAGGCGGAGCCGACGGCAACAAGCGGAGCCGACGGCCACGTGGCGGAGGTGACAAGGCGGAGGCGACGAGCCGAAGCCGACGGTCACGAGGCCGATGGCCACGAGCGCGAGAATGAGTCGAGCTGAGCCGACGGCCGCAGGCCGAGGCGACTGAGGCGGCAGCGCTTGGCGACAATGACGTTTCAGCGGAGCCCACGACCACGAGGCGTAGTCGACGACCACAAGGCGCAAGCGACGGCCACGAGGCGGAGCCGACGGCAACAAGCGGAGCCGACGGCCACGTGGCGGAGGTGACGAGGCGAAGCCGATGGCGATGAGCGGAGCCCACGGCCACAAGGCGGAGCTAACAACCACGAGACGGAAGCGACGGCCACGAGGCGGAGCCGACGGCCATGAGGCGGAGGCGACGGCGACGTAGCGGAGCCGACGGCCACGAGGGGACAGGCCGTCCGCTTTTCGCCGGAAGGATGAAGCAAAGAACACAAAAAGAAGATGAAGGAGGAGGGAGAGAAACAATCTGGGAAGGGAGCGGGAGAGAAGGAGAAGAGTTTCAGGTGAGAGACATTTCATTCAAACTTGAAAAAGAACGAGGAGAGAGGATGGCAATTAATGCTCGTGCCTTCCCCGGGTCTTCTTTCAACGGGAGTAGGGTGCAGAGGAGAGAGAGCCTCCCATAATAGGGCTTTCTCTTTCTCCGTGTCTCTCCACGTCAGATACCACATGCCGATTTTTTAATGGATCCACGCGAGCAAATATACACCACGTGGGCATGTGACGTGATACTAATAAACCACTGAATATTTTCTCCTTCTGAACACTTCTCTTTGACTTTTCTCTTGCTTTCCTCTTCTTTTTGTTTTTTTTCTTCTTTTCTATTCTTTTTCTTCACTTGCTCTTTCTTCTCTGCATGCCCAGATCGTCTTCTTCTTTCTGGAGCCCCCCACAACGAACCCAGAACAAACCGAGAAAGCATAATAGAAATCTCTACACGAAGACCTCAATGATCAAGTCTCCTAAAACTAATGTGTCCTCAGTAGATTGTGCATTCATGCTCACCTACGGCCCAGGCTTCGGCCTCAACACCCCCGACAAACTCGACTCAGGCCTGCGTTCCGTCGCCCCTGTTCCGCGGTTTCCGCTCGACCGGCCCTCTCGCCGGGCTACCAAGGAGCTCCGCCGTCGACCAAGCCCCCACGCCGGACGACGTCGGAGCTTGGCAAGCGACGGCCGACTACCATGACCACCGCCGGACCCCCTTTTGATTCACCTCGAGCAAACGCACAAAACACACAACGATCGACGATCGTGATGGCAAAAACGGGACCGATTAAAGCTTGAATCAACACGGATAAAACAACAAGTCTGGGAATGGAACGGCGCAAGAACGACTCAGTTTCAAGCACAAAGCAGGGATGCAGATCTCATCTGAGCATTTTATCAAACAGTTGGCGGGCCTCAGCCCCCGATCAGCCGAGACCCCGAAAACAGAGCACGGTTCGGGTGAAACAGGGGGGTCGATGGAGCTCCCTACCCGGCTCGGCAGCGACGAACGAGGACAAGTTTGACAGAGCGGACTATATCAGGTTACCTCGCGCGCTTCCGGGCCGAGATCCTCGGAAAATCGACCCCCAAATCACAAAGCACAACCCGAGAAGGGCTTCGGACCGGAACCTACCGTGTGGAACGGGATGCGTCGGAGCTTCGCCGGCCACGGTTGAGGCACGGCGGCCACCCACAGCAGACCTTCCGACTTCAGATCCCACTCCCCAACGCTCTCAGTCTCGCTCTCTCTGTTTTTCGGAGCTCTCCCTCTCTCCCCTCCTCTCGGTCAGATCTCTTCCTTTTAATGCCGAGAGAAGGAGGATGATCCCCTTCTCTCTGCTTCCCCTAGGGACGCACACCTCTGCTCTACGCCCCTTCCATTTCCAGCTCGAGGGAGCCATGGATTAGCGCGCCCTTCCCTATTTCATCATGCGCCAGCAGCCGATCCTCTCCCTAGGACCAAATCAGGTCCGTTTTTTGCTAAAACGGCTGCAAATCTTCTCGATGCAGGTCGGAAGCGCTGCGCCGCCCTCGATGCGCCCCCTTTCTTCTGCTTTGTCGCTTCTGCACCTGCTTCTGCGTTTTACTTCGTTCTGGCCTTCTCCCGATTGTGAAGGACAGCGCAGAATGGGTCAAAGAGGAAAAGGGCAGTGGGCCAGCGTTGAATAACGCTGGTCCTTCTTTTTTTCTCTTTTTTTTTTAAATTTTTTTATAATAATTTTTTATAATTACTTTTTTTTTCTTTTTTGAAAGTAAACAATGAAAATATGTTCTAATATGCCGTATTAATGTAAATGCACCTAATGTCTATATGCCATGTAATTTAACGAAAATATTTTTGGTTTAGGGGTTAAAAAATTAAACCCTAATTTTTTATGCGATAAAACCCTAAATGGACTAGGCAAAATTTAGGTGTCAACAAAGACCTCGAGCTCTGATACCATAAAGAAAATAAAGAATTGAGTCGATGAAGCGTTACTTTTCATTAATATGTTGTACAGTATAAATAGAGATATCATCACCTATAATTATGGTAGAAGTTAAAGATAAAAGATACAATTTGATTTACAAGGAAATCGAATAAAAGACAAGTCAGAAAAGATCTCCAAATGATCAACTCGTGGATACTCTACTTAATATGTTATCTTCATGCTGATTTGTAAAAGATTCAGCACTGCAACCATTCTGATTTTTTTCCTTTTGATTTGTTGCTTCAATAAGAACTTGAATCATAAGTCACGAATTGGTAAGGGCTTAAGAGAGCTTGATTTAAGTCTAGGTTTAATAATCATTAGCCAAACCCTTAGCTGGTGCACTCTGAGGTAAGGTCGCGACAAACATGAAGAATTTGGCTACAGGTTATGAAATCTGGCTACAAAGTAAGTCATTTTTCTTTGAGCATTAAAACTTGAAGACACTACATTACTTCCAGCCCAAAATCCTATTGTCGTATTAGGTGAAAATCACTGGGGAGAAGTGTAAGGAAATCATGGTTATCATGAAGTTGTTGAGTCGACATAATGTTGATTCTTCAAGTTAGACAAGTGAAATAATTGAGCTCGAACAGCCCGTTGAGCAAGAACAACTTGTTGAACAAGAACAACCAGGCATACCTCAAGTGAGAAGATCAACAAGAGAGAGTGGACTTTCACAGAGATACCTGCCGCATGAATATGTATTACTCATTGATGCAAGAGAGCTAAAAAATAATCAAGAGGCTATGTCGTATGACCAATAGAATGAGTGGTATGAATCCATGCAAGAGAAGCTCAAATCCTTACATGAGAACCACACATTTGAATTAGTGAAGAACACTAAAAAAAAATAAATGGGTGTACAAGTTAAAGACCGAAGAAAATAGCTTGCATCCTTAATACAAGGTTAGGCTTATTGTAAATGGCTTTTGTAAAAATGAAGGAATTGTTTTGCAAAGATTTTATCAACAGTGGGAAAAATGCCTTCTATTCAAGTTGCTCTTGGTTTAGCAGCTACTTTGGATTTAGAAATTGAGCAGCTTGATGTAAAGATAACTCCTATTTTATGTGGATGACATGTTAATAGTTGGTCATGATGATTAAAAAATTAAAAGCTTGAAAAGTGAGTTGAGTAAAGCTTTTGCAATAAAAGAATTAGGCCGGCTTAGCAAATGCTTGACATGGGAATTATTCATGATAGGAAGAATAGGAAACTTTGGCAATATCAAGAGAAGTACATTCAAAAAGTTCTAGAGAGATTCAACATGAGCAATAAAGAGTATCCTACAAATGAGAAAGAGAATAAAGAGATCACAAAAATTGCTTATGCGTCAGTCCTGGGTAGTTTGGCTTATGCCATGATTTGTACAAGAGCGGATATTGCTTATAAAGTTGGTGTTGTGAACGGGTTTCTATCAAATCCAGGTAAAAAGCATTGGGCTGCTATTAGATGGATCTTGAAGAGTCTTAGAGGCCCTTTTAGATTATGCTTGTGTTATGGAAACGGGAAGCCTGAGCTGAGTGGCTACTTAGATGCGAATTATGCCAATGACATTGACTCTCAAAAGTCCACATCAACTTACATGATGACTTTTGTAGGGAGAGTGGTTTCATGACAATTAAGATTGCAAAAAATATATTACTCTATCCACGACTAAAGCAAGTATATCGCTATTACCGAAAAAGGTAAGGAACTCTTATGGATGAAGGAATTTCTACAGGAGTTAAGTTTGAAGTGAGAGAAATTTGTTTTATATTGTGATAGCATGAGTGTTATTTAGCGTACGAAAAACCTAATGTTCCATTCAAGATCAAAGCACATTGATGTGAAATATCATTGGATTTGAGAGAAACTAGAGAAGAAGCTCTTTTCGCTTGAAAAAGTCCACACTGATGACGATTAATTCCATACGATGAGTAAAACTTCGTTCATAGTGAAACTCAATTCTTGTAGAGATAAAGAGGGCATTGTTGGAGCTTCCCTCATGAGGCGAAGGGGGAGATATTTTGGGTTGGGTACCCCTCTTGTGAGGCCCAACTCATCATCTTAAATAAAAAAAAAAACGATACGGCAGAATGTTCTTGATTGAGGAGAGAGAGACAGAGAGAGGAGTGTTCGCTATAGCAGAGAAAAAGGAGTGTTGCTTCCAAGAGGAGAAGAGGCAGTATAAATTTGACGGTAAAACTTTATCAAACTGGGCTGAAATTTTAGTATGTTTTTCATGAGATCAAGATCTAAAAGTTGATCGGTTTAGTTTGTTGAAAGCCTTCTCCAAATTGTCTTTCAATTTCTCTAGTAACGCTAGATCTTCTTGTTTCTTTGGGTTAATCCGTTTTTGTGGTGATTATATAATGCTGTTTTGCTAATGTGAAGAGCCTCTAGTTGTGTGATTAGAGATGAACTATCGTGTATTCTGCTATTCTTGATGATTAGTGGAAGTTTTTAGTAGCCCATGCTTTTTTCCGCATTGAGTTTTCCATGTAAAATTTGTGGGTGTTGTTTCTGCCTTGCTTTAATTTTTTCAGCACTATATTTATTATTTCGGGGTTGATATTGTGTGAATATTGTGATTGGTTGCTGCTGGAGTTAATTTGATATTAATTAGTTGAGTTTTTGGAAACATATTGATCTTGGACAGGTTTAAATTGCGAATTGTTACCCTTCTCCCCAAAAAAAAAGGTATTAAAGTCGAGGTCTGCCTTGGTTTACTTGGCACATGCATCCATCCCATTTGTTAAATTTCAACTAGTCTTCCGATTGACAAACAAACATAGACACTCCCTTGCTTATTTTTTATTAAGTTTGCTTATTAATGATGTCCGTATCTTGTAACCCGCCAATTGAAGGTATGCTTGAAAGATTTCAGGATGTACAAAATAATAGTCTCGTTATTAATCACTTAAGTGAGTTATTCCTAATCAAATTACTAATAAAAAAAGTTTACCCCTTTTCCTTCTATGGATGGGTAAGTTGTCCAGTTCTTCATCTAACATAGTGGGAAGGCCAAACCCACTATAAGCCACAATACAAATTGATCTCTTTCTAATTACACCTCTGGATTGCAATGATTAATCCCTTATCATCACATAAGGGTGCCACGAGGCTGCCCACCACCAATCATACCAAAATAATAAAATGTCATGAAGATAAACAACTCTACTAAAGTCTAAACTTAGCTAAACAAATTGCTCATGCTTAACTAGAAAAAAACAGGGACATTTCTTCTAAATAATGAGACTTGTTTAGTTGTCCGTCGCTTAAATCAACCTCGTCTCTAAATTGTACCTCAAAACCATAAAAATTTTCAAACGACGAGGAAGACTGCTCGTGGAAAATAAGGAAAGGAAAGAAACAAAGTACATAAACATTAGAAAATCCTCTTCCCACGAAACTCAATTATGAAGTGGACCACTTTAAAACCTTCATTTATGTAACATCAAGATGTATACCACTAAGAGGCGCTATGAAAGGAGTGACCCTCTAGGATGAGCCATGTGTCGATACGAATAAAATTTAATCCCCGTTTATTTCGCAAAAAAATGAACAATTTAAAAAATATTTTCATTATCGACAGCAATTTATGTCAAAATATTTTCATGGACGATGAAAATATTATTCGTTTATTTATTTTTGAAGCGATGCGAACGATAATTTTCAACAAAAAAAATTTCACAAATCATTTATTTTCCTCCAAATAAACTACTCGTAATTCGAGAATATCTAGCATTTTTCTAATTTGCCTTGCATACGTAGACGAATTATATACACATGATAAGCGACCATGGGAGCACCACAAAGGCCCCCCTCACTCTCTTCCTTTCTATCCTTGGAGTGTGGAAGCAAATCCTTCCGCGCATCCATGGACACCATCCTCAGCTCACCCTTCCCTGTGTTCCCACCCAACCCAACTCCACGCGCACCCAGAATCCTAAAGCCCTTCAGGGCCTCCATCAGACCTCCGCCGCACGGATTCGACTTCCGGAGAGAGGTCTTGGAGGACTCCAAGGCCTCCATCGCCTCGTCGCACCCGGAGCTGCTGGACTTGGCGGGCGACGCCACCCTCGTGCTGGTCCGGAAGGGGCAGTTCGGCCCGGTCCCGGCTTGGAGGTCGGAGTTCGTGGAGCCGGAGGAGATATGGCTGCTGGGGACCAACCACATCTCGCGGCGGTCCGCCGACGACGTGGCGCGGGTCGTCAGGGCCGTGAGGCCCGACAACGTCGCGGTCGAGCTCTGTAGGAGCAGGCAAGTTTCCACCCTTTTGTTTGTCATTTTCTTTTTGTGCTGTCGTCTCGAAATGTGATTATTGATCTGGTTCAGTAATTTATTGCGAATTTAGTGGAAACACGCAGGAGTTGATTCACTGTCTTTTTGTTTGACCCAGCATCGTTATACTGTGAACGTGCTTGATATATATACTCGACATGTTTCTTATATGCGTAAGTTACTTAAATGGTAGAATGTAGTGTACATATTCAGTATTTTGTTTCGATTGTCTAGGAAATATTGGCAGGCTGGGGTTAGGCGAGAGATCCTGATGAAAGCAGGAGTTGATTTACCAAGTCTTGTGCGGCCACTTATAAATGAATCGAGTTAATGAGACGAATTAGGCATTAAGTTTAGAAATATTAGTTGAGTGCAGAATTTAGTCGCCCGTAGTTGGTTAGATAAGGGACATAATGAAAGCAACCGATCGATTGTGCTGGCATGTTGGCTATCATTGACAGGCTAAAAATTTGACCATTGACTGATGCTGCAAGAGTTTATCATGCATGGTTTCCAATTTGTCACCCCAAATCGGATGGAGACATTGGGCATTTCAAAAATGAATACTGCAGTAGCTCATAATGTTAAATCACATTTACCGGTCAACATTGTGCTCCTTTGATTTTGCATTTTTATTATCTATGTCGGGTAATAGCAAGGAGAGTAGTTTTCCATATTTTGGCTTCTGAGTTCTGGCTGAAAATGGCACTTTGAGGTCTCATAAGCACCAAAAAGTTTGATGTCCTATCTATATCTGAACTCCAGTCGTTGCAGAGCTTGTTTTCAGAGCTGGGATCATGTACACATCTAGTGAAGGAGATCCTAGTCAACAATTACGGTCCAGCATGTTTTCCCTGAGTGGTACTGGGTTTTTTGGTGCCGTTGGTCGTAGCATAAACTTGGGTAAGCTCTAGCTTCTTGAGGCTTGTTAGTACTGTTCTGCACTTGAAATGCTAATAAAGCTCAATTAGATGATCTTTGTCTGGTTTCATGACAGGTGGTCAGACAGCTCTAGCATTACGTCTACTCTTGGCAATTTTCTCTTCAAAAATCTCCTCAGATGTCAACCGCCCATTCGGAGATGAGGTAGTGACCTGAAATCACGATTTCAGCAATCGACTCCTTTAAACTCTTATGACATTCTTTAACTTGCAATTATTTTCTTGCCTACAGTTTCGGGCTGCTCGGAAGGTATCTGAAGAAATCGGTGCTCAGATTGTTCTGGGGGATCGGCCAATTGAAATAACAGTATGTATGCTTAAACATCTGGTCTCATAATTTATGAAGAAAGTGTCTGATCATTTAGCTTCTCTTTGTCCTATTAATTAGATTTGGGACAGGATGATTAAGGTCCAATGACAGTTGACTGACAGAAGAATTCATTTATGATGTTTTGTTGTTCAGCTTGAGAGAGCATGGAATAGTTTGAAATGGGATCAGAAAATAAGCCTAGTGATCTCTGTCTTTCGTGGAATAGCATCACAATCGGATGCATCAGGGAGTAATCTTCAGGTGCTCTCTCCCGATCAGCTTTTGGTTGTTTTGCATTGTATTACGAGAAATTAGCTGTAATATTCTATGCAATAAAACAGAGTCACTCCATGAGATTCTTATGCATCGTTTCCTTTTCGAATCCAAATTGGGAGTAAATTTTTCTGGTTGATGTTATCTATGCCACATCTGTGATTCTCTGTCTTTAAAGTCCTCATCTAGAACGGAAGCTTATATACAGATACCATTTCTTGCACAGAATCATTTAGCTGTGGGCAATTTTCTAAGTCTCTATTTGTCTACCAGATAAATATGGAGTAAAATGCTTCTTGATGAATCAAATCATTCTTCCTTTTATGCTCATTCTTCACGATTCACATCCTCCCAGGATGATGATTGAGTTTCTAGAACATCCAATAGGTATAGTAAACAACCGGTAGTTTCTAAAGCAGATTCCTGGTTTTGCTGCAGGAATCAAACACTGAGGATAGCACATTTGAGTTGTATGAGCAGCTTAGTTTTTCTTATCCAGCGCTTCTACAGCCTCTCATACATGAACGAGACACGGTGAGTACATTCTCTGTCAGCTAAACCGCTACCCTTCTCCAACATTTCAGCTTACGCACACCAGACCATGCATTGCAGTTCACTTGTAGATAAAGGGAAGAGCAGAACTTTTTTTCATTCTATTAGAGTCGTGATTGCAAGATTGCTTAAGGTGTGAGGAAGATTACTCATCCAATGTTTGAAGTGCATTCCATCCACCATATATACGGCAGCAAAGCATTACTAATTAGTCATTTGCTTTTTTTTGTTTATGTTCATATTTGAAGAAAATTCTTGCATATGTAGCTTTGCTCAATCAACTTCGCCCTGTATGCGATCACAGTATCTCGCATGGTCCCTAAAGCGGAGCAAGGCCGTGAACAACTGCAAGAGGGTGGTGGGAGTGATCGGGAAGGGCCACATGAACGGGGTCGTGTATGCGCTTATCTCGGACCAGGGGAACTTGCGATTCCGTGATCTTGCGGGGAATAAGGCCGGGGGCAATAAAACCGGCGGTTGGGTTGAAGATCTCACGAGGAGCTTGATTAGGGACACTTTGTTGGGGATTCTGCTATGGGCATTGTATGAATGGGTCAAAGGTGCAGTATAAAGCTAGATCAAAGGATTAGATAATCGACCACTTTGAATTGAAGACAATAGGTCAATATGTTGGGAACTTTTCACTTTTCTTTTTTATTGTTTTGCCAGTTTTGTACTTTCCAATTATTTGTGCTTGTATATCTGGCTTAAAAAGGAAAGGAGCTATAGTTGTTGGATCGATGTGAATCTCGTGTAGCCATATTTCCTTCTCTCAATGAAAACTCAAGGAATAGTTATACAAATGGTCCTCGAAATTTGGTTCAATATGCAATATCGTCCTTGAACTTTTATTTATTCAATGTGATCTCCGAACTTTAGCCCAATGTAAAATGTTGTTCTTGAACTTTTAATTTGCCTAATCCCTGAAATTTTGTTGAATGTTCAATAAAATCCTTTGATTATATGAAAATGTTTAATATAGTATTTTCATTAATATAAAAGTTAAGATAAATTTGTTAATTCGACTTTCAATTTGGCAAATTTGAATGGTGGACAAAAGAATAACGTTACATGTGAATTATCCACATAAGATATTTAACTCAAATTAGGGTATAATAATCAACGTTATCAAATAACATGGATAATCATTTTTCTGAATTGAACAAATTAAACAAATTAAGTTGAATATCTTACGTGAATAATCCATGTATAAGGTTTTCTTTATTCACTATTCAAATGTACCGGATTGGAAGCTAAATCAACATATTCCGCTAACTTGAATTAAAAGAATGACAACATTAAACAATTTCATATAGTTTGGGATTAAATTGAACATGTACCAAAAGTTCGGGGACAATATTGCACATTTGGCTAAATATCAGGGACCACATTAAACAAATTAAAAGTTCATTGATAATATTACATATTGGGTCAAAGTTTATGGATCATTTATGTCATTTTCCCAAAACTCAAATGGCCAACTATGAGCTCACTATTATAGTGGAGTGGAGTTCTCATGTGTTTTGATAGACAATATTGGGGAAAATTCTCCACAAAGTTCTAAATCTATTATACAGTAGCTAATTCAGTTCTATACCTTTCAACGTGTTAATTTAGTTCTAAACTTTTTGAGGACTTACCAATTTAGTCTTAAACCTTTTAACGAATTACCAATATAGTCCTTCCAGGTTAATTTTGGTCGAAAATCGCTGACGTAGTGGTCCAGTCAGAACTGGACATTCTACATTGCGTAGCCGGAGTTGACATGGATAATTTTTTTTTATTTTTTTTAAATTTTCTGAATTTCTTCTTTTCTTTTTCTTTTTCTTTTTCTTTTTTTCTTCACAAGGCCAGCGAAGCCAGTGGCCCAAGGCAAGAGCCCGTAAGCCCTCATTGTGGCCGGCAAGGGCGCTGTACCCCTCACTAGCCACAATGAGGGCGAGTGAGGGTGAAGGCCATGGCCCTTGCCCAAGAACTAGCAGGGTTCGCCGGCCCTATGAAGAAAAAAAGAAAATAAAAATAAATCAAAAAATTGTCCATTTCAACATTGGTCTGCAACGTAGGATGGTCGGTGCTGACTGGACCGCAATATTAGCAATTTTCAGTCGAAATTATCTAAAAGGACTATATTGGCAATTTGTTAAAAGGTGGAAAAAGTGTTAGAAAAGTTCTATACATATATTTAATCCTAAACCTTTTTTTGGTATTGATTCAATCATAAACCTTTTGTCTTTGTGCCAATTCAATCATTCTAACTAATTTTAGTTGGATATTGCTGACGTGGACATCAATCGGCCTACATAGCATCGTCAGTGCTGACGTAAATAACTTTTAATAATATTTTTAATATTTTTTATTATTTTTTAAAAAAAATCTATTTTTTTTTCCTTCCCTTTCTTCTTCCTCCAGTTGGTCGTCGGTCTGGCGACCAGCTAGAAGCCAAGGCCGATGAGGGTCAGCCTCACCGACCTCTAGCGAGCCTCGCTAGCCATTGGCAAGGCTCGCTCTCGCCAGCAACAACGAAGGCAAGCCTCGCCCAGCCCATGGCGAGGCACGACCTCGCCAATTAGGCCTCACCCATGGCTGGCGAGGCTCATGCCTTGCTAGCCCAGCGTGAGGTCGTCCTCATGGCTATCCAACGAGGTCTCGTGCCTCGCTTGCGGCTAGGCGAGGCTTGCCCTCAACGGATATGGTGAGCCTTGAGCCTTGCTGGCCATGGTTAAGTCCCGACCTCGCCAAATCCGACGAAGTCATGCCTTGCCCAGCCGTTAGCGAGGGTCAAGCCTTGACCAGCTATTGGCAAGGGTTGGAGCCTCACCGGCAAGGGCTAGGTCGAGGGCGAGCCTTGCTAGCAAATGGGCGAGGCTCGCGTTTGCCGTCATTGGCGAGGGCGAGCCTCGACGAGGCTGGCGAGGTCGACATTGCCAGTTCGACGACCAGCTGGAGGAAGAAGAAAGGGAAAGAAAAAAAAGAAAAAAAAAAGAAAAAAATATTAGAAATAATAAATAATTCAAAAAATATTATAATATTATTAAAAGTTGTCGACGTTAGTGTTAGCGGTGCCACGCAGGCTGGCCGGCATCCACATCAGCAATATTCGGCCAAAACTAGCCAAAAGGACTAAATTGGCACAAAGACAAAGACTGAATTGGCGCAAAAAAAGGTTTAACATTAAATTGACACCAATGTAACAAGTTTAGAACTTTTCTGACACTTTTCCTGTTAAAAGGTTTAGGATTAAATTGGCAAATTCTCAAAAGATTTAGGACTAAATTAACACAATTGAAAGGTTTATGATTGAATTGGCCACCGTACAATAAGTTTAGGACTTTTTAGACAATTTTCTTGCCAATATTGAATTGTTCGTTCAACAAACGTTGGAAGTTGAAATTCGAGGCGAATTGGCTTTGGTTCATCAATGAATCTATCTAATATATTGATTAGTAAAACTGGCTTCTGCACATCAAATATATCCAATGTACGAGAGATAAAGTTTCTAACATTCAAATGTACATAAGTATGCCATTTTATCACACCTATCAAATTAATCGCAATTTCAAATTTTCTACTTATGGTTATGGTGTACGATGTGGTCTGAGTCAAGTTATTGCTTAAGATACTAAGGAGAAGGCAACTTATTTGTAATCTAAAGGGCATGGACCTAGAGATTCAATTACATTAAGCGAAATCGGTTATTTGCATTCTTAATGTACAAATTTTTTATGATCGAGTGAATTCATTGATTAACACGGGAAATATTTGTGGGTCAACGATAGAAGATCTCTAGTTAAATATAAATTAACGTATTTATGACATGTAATAAATCCAAATTTGCAGCCAATTTTGCGTTCTTCCTCCTTTTAGGGTCAACTCTTTCTCCATGCCCGTCCATGGCGCATGCTTACCAAGTGGCAGCCTCAAATTAGTCCAGGCCTCACAACCTCAATGCATGTGAACCTTTTTTCCGCCTTTTTTTTTTGTTGATTTTATCAAAGCGAGTCTCAAGACATGTTAATTAATCAAATAAGGAAATTTTATAATTTTCGACAGAATTTTCTTTAAAAAATTGCTCTAGAAACACTTGTTAAGCACCATCTGTTATGGTGTAATGTGTAATCCGAGTAATTTTGAAAGAGAGGCCATTTTGCACTCTCTTTTAGTATTTTCGCATGATACTCCGGCTATTCTTGGCAAAGTCCCCGATTACCGAACAACCGGGGAAATAATCGAAACAATATATTTTATATAAATAATTCTATTGTCAATTCATCAATATCCTAAATTTTCCGGAAAAATGTTTGTCTAACAGTAGTAATGAGCGAGTGATTAGGATTAGAGAAAACTCATATGATAATCTCTTCGATTTTAATTAGGCCTACACTATTGGTAAAGAGGAGTTTTTGTTTTTTAATACAAGTGCACGTAATTATCACAAGACTCATGTCATATGAAAATTTGCTGGTCTTGTCCAAGCAATGCGGTAGCGCTATCGAGAACTTTTTTCTCCAAAAACTATCGGCTGATTAAAAATTCAAATTTGGTTTATTGAAAGATTTAAGCCTATGAAACTAATAATGATGATGGGCCAAAAAAAAAACTAATTATGATGAGTGGTTTTCTTTGGGACCTTTTGCATAGGTAGAAGTATTATTTGAAGTGGAATGTACTAGCTAGACGTCAAGTTCGATAAATATCATTGTAGATATATAATAATGTCAAAAAAATGTTATATCTTAGACATAAAGTTTGGTACAAAAGAATTTAGAAAAAATGCGGGTACGCATTGTGTTTCATATATAAGTCAGGCATTACAAAGAAAACACAGAACATGAAGCTAATGTAATGAAGTAAGTTTGGGGCAAAAATTCAATACTACGAGTAATTGATAGAACAATCAAAAGACGGAGTCCCAAAATTCGAAAAACTTTATATAAAGCTTTACCCTAAGCATTACTTAGCAATCGCCATATTACGGGAGACGCTATAGAGATTGGCAATCCCAAAACTTCCTAGTTTGCTAATAAATCTATGCATAAAAAAATTATATCCATCATCTTAGCAAAAATTTAAAATGATTTCAACTATTTTGAAAATTCGTGTTTTCTGAAAATTAAATCGCGCCACATTTATTTGAAAACATGTTGTTAATAGTTGTTGATCTCTAAAATGGTAATAAATACAGAGTAAGGATTTTTTTTTAAATTTGTCAGAGAGGAAGGATAATTGATATGAAAGATTTCTGCTTCATGGAGAATCCTATGTAAGAACTTCTTAATCTTGGTGATGCAGCCTGGTGTAGGCTACTCGAACGTTAGGATAGAGAGTGTGCAACGACTTGCACACGTGGAACAGGACGAACAGTAATTACAGTCCTGCACAAGCTCGGGAAAATGGATGTAATTTCGTCGATACAGATCGGAATGACCTGATTCCAAAGCCAAATGAACAAAGACTTCTGGATTGACAATTTCTCTGTTTTGAGTTTTCTCAAATAAGCACTATAGGAAGGACGAAATCGGGGTGGAAGTGGACGGATGTAAATGGACAGAACAGAGAAAAAGATAGAACTTCGTTGATTGCTCTTCCAAGCCTCCAAGGAAGTGGATAGGGCACCGATTCTTCTAGATCGATGACTACAACTCTTCAAGGATGCAGATTTGAAAACCTCCGACTCTTCAAGGACGGAGTGAAAACTCTTCTAGGTTTTCAGGGATATGTACTCTTCAAGGTTCAAGATAATTGCTTGATGCAAAATTTTCATTAATCAAATTCGTCTGTCGAATACATAAAGTAGATGGTCTTT